CCAACAGTCCTACAACTACAATGAAGACATTTGCCATCAGCCACCGAAGCGACACAGGAGGAAGCCCTCTGACAGGTCATGGGTTTCATGCGCTATGTGGAAACGGAAAGGAAGAAATTGCTGCCCAGAATGGTGGAGGTCCAGCTGTAACGACGTCAACAAACAAGCCTTTTCTAGCCAGAGCAGACACTGACCATGACACAGAGGATTCACTGATGACAGTGGATTAACATGCGTAAACTAACGGAAATCTTTATGCACACTTTGTATTTTTAATTTGCATTGTGTATTTGCCGTCTTAGTAAATATCTAGTAGTAAGTATTAACATGTATATTTACAAAATCTTTCAACTTGATACCTCAACAAAAAAAAAGAGTTTTATGCGCGTTTCTAATTTTTGATAAAAAACTATATATGGTAATGCCATATAATAATAATATATAAATCATACCAGTATGCAAAGTGATTTAGCATTACATAAAAGGCCAATGTATTAAAACGGAAAAATATATCTCAGCGCGAAAGGGAAAGCTGAGAACTAATTTATTTCAAAATGAAAATAATCGGCTATGGTTTAGCAGAATACTGCCAAACGGTAAAACAAAAGTTTCACTTAAAGCACGCTAAACATTGCTGTTTGCCCTGCAATGTTTATATAATATGCCCTGTTGTTATTATTAACTTCTGAAATAAGTATATTAATTTCCATTTGTTACAATTCAATTGCAGGAAAATGTTGTGCCGACCATTAAGCAACATTGATGAAGATGCTCCATTTTTAATGCAACTTTACCTCTGGACAGCATATGACCAGTAATTTTGATCTAGATAACTTAACTTATTCATCCGATTTATCAAAACATTCAACAGCAGCAATATTGCGCTAGTAGCATTATACTGCTAGAGCGGAAGACCATTCTACGCCTTAGCATCTATTACTGTTTACATAGAGTTGGTTTCTAATCGAAAGCCTATTATGTTGCCGAATAGTGCGAAATATGTTCCTACACGGAATCCAGTATAATTGCCATCCCAGTTCACATTACATCCAGTACACAAACTGCCGCGATACCGCTGCCATGTCGTTATTGCATCATTAGCGTCTAACTTTCGGTTAGGCACAGAAGATCTTTCTAGTATAGCACAAAGCTACACTTTAATATTATCGCGTTAAGCAGATATGTTTGGAAATCCTCAAGCTGGGTAACACATAACCATCGCGTGCTCTTCCTCGCACGCATAGCTGCTCCAACGGCGGGGCTGTGGGGCATGTTCACACAGTGCTTACACGCAAAAGGCATGGGGTGAGGTGCATGATGAGCTGCAAGGCGTTCAGCTCCGGATCCTGCTCTGCCCTGTTGTTAGCTTGATTTTTCTTTAGGTCGTAGTCGGCTATTGTAAGAAGATTTTTCCAGCTGTGGCCTTGCTCCAATTGCTTGACCATACTCCTGAAATTTTTCAATTAGAAAAACTGTACAGTTTTATTATGACTTTTATTTACTTCTTTTGTTTCACAAACTTTACCAGGAACTTACGAGTAATTCGCAGTGATATTTTAAAAGGAGTTTAGATATAGTAACTATAATTTAACTCTAGCGGGCAATGTGCTGTCTGGCCGGGTTGTGTTGAATCTTAACAACGCTTTTAGGCTATATTTGCAGGGTTTTTTCTTCAATGTTTCCAATTGTTGTTTTCATAACGACATTTAAATATCACCAGATAACAACTTGGTTGCAACTTGCATTAAATAGTTTGCACTTGAAAAATTAAAAAACTAACCTCTGACCTGAAATAGCAAACTGCTTGACAACTGCCTGATGCGAGTCCTCCATGCGGTAGGACACACTGCTGTAGGACACACTTGCGCCTCAGTTACCTCCAAACCTTCAAACTCCTGTCGATCTATAATTAGTAACTTTGACATTATATTGCTCAAAACACAGCGTGTAACTTTGGATGTTTTTTACACAAAACTTGGTTTTTGCTGCCCATAATACAAAATATATTTCTAATAAAATCCTAAACTATTTATTCTCTGTTTTTTAGTTGCCACAAAACTAGTGATTAAGCATGTGCACACACTACACGATTTTCCATGTGATCTGAGTCGCCCGAGCTCAGTGGACACACTAGGCGATTTTCAGCGCGCATTCATCGGCGATGTCATCTCCCGCGCCACCTCAAGATTGCATCACTAGATTGATGTCACCATGCATTTGAAAATTGGCACCATTGATTTGGCTGATGAATCGTACATTCTGGTGTGCGCCGTAGCAAGAGCCATTGTTATAGTTTAAGTCGCATGTATATAGGTCGTGCAACTCAAATAATCTAATCATCCGATTTCATCAAACATGTTTGATGTCGCCCGACTCAATCGCCTGAAAAATCGCCTAGTGTCCACAGCTTTATGTTACTCACCCGAGCGCTTTCTTTTCCCTAATGTGATGCCTTCTTAAATTTTCTCTTTCTGGCTGAAAGCAATATCACATGTTTACTAATACTACAAAGACGCGCAATGTATAAGTTGACAGCATGTTTGTACTAGATCCAGTTGATGGTGTGCTTCGCAATGCAAGCGACTGCCATGTTATAATATAAGAGACAGTTTTTGATTTTTAATGAATGATTTCTAGTTAATGGAATTCCATCACCATCGATTATAGCGTCTAACAGTCTGCTTAGTTAGGAAATATAATTGGCCGGAGCTACGCCCGTACCGGACTTCTGGACAATTTATCTCACACAGTGATGCTTGTGCATACGGTATACAGGCGCATGGTTGCCCGCAACGCAGTGGACGCTCAGCTGAATTTGCTGTGTGTGTGCTGCTGCATTGTGCCGCTGCGTTGTGAGCGAGTAGAGAGAGGTGTGTGCCGTGTGTGTGAGTAGAGAGAGACGCACGCACGCACGGCACGCACGCACGCACACCCAACCCACCTATTAGGGCATAGACATGCATGAGTGTATATAGTTTCGGATATCGCATAGCCGCTCCCGTTGCGCATCATGCGGTGTACGCGATTCGCGCGATCACTGTGTGAGTAGATGTCAGCACGCGTAGCCACTCGCGCACATATAATTTCCATAGCTCGCTAAAGTTGACGATTGACCTAATAAGTCAGGTCCCTTGGCTTCATGCATCGTTACAGAGCTGACAAAACCATCAAACTTGGCACATCTGTTAGCCTTATGCGAGTACTATAAATATTTAGAGCGCCGTGCTGCCCAATGTAGAATATTCTCTTAGAAGTGACTACAGATGATTAAAATGCCTTTCGAACCGCGCCCGCCTGTACTGGCGCATTGTATACAGCTGTTAACCTTCCCCCCCCCGCGCATACGCTATATCTGCATTGGGGACCCCCTCGAATAATTATAGTACTGTCATAAGCTACAACTGTGTCAAGTTTGTACTCCTGTAACGATTCGGCCCATATTTTGCACTAAGGAACCTGACTATAATGACGTAAGCAGTAAAAACAACGCGCAGCTTGTCACTATTATGCAGCGAAAGTTACCTTTTCCGATGAAAGCACTGCCATCTGTTGCAGTGAGTCGGTGGTCGACTCTCCGATATTGACAGCCACGTAATCGCCATCGTCTTCATCCAAAAATGAAACCCGCCAACTCCTGTAAAACCAGAATAGGGATGTGAAGGCTGACGTTGCGGCGTTTCTTCAAAGCATAGCCGACCTGCTACAGGCAGGCTACATGAAGAAACAATTCTACCTCGCTCCAGCTGGAGTTGCTGTACAATAAATCAATACACAAACACTCGGACGGGGGCGGGGGCAGCCCTATAGAGTATAGACCGAAGGTACGATAGACCGAATATTGCAAAGGGTTAGGGTTTGGGCATATATTAGCTCCAAGAAACGGTATTGCTAGGGTTACAATAGGGCTACGTTTTGCTACGTTGGGCTGCAATAGGGCTACGTTGCTAGGGTTACAATAGGGAATTGTATAGACAATCCGTCGTACAGCCTGGTCGGGCTAGGCATATATATGGTTTATAGTGGCATCGGTGGATGTGCGGCATATTCACGTTTGAATACGGCATCAGTGGATGTCCGTATGCGTAGGCCTGGAGGCTAGGCGACCGATTCCGGACGTGTAGCCCACTGCGTATTCGAATAAACCTTCGGTCTAGATACAATAGCGTTAGGGCTGTAACCGCACTCGGATAGCGCTCGCAGATGGACTCCTGCGGCAACTGTACGCGGGCTATAGTACTAGAGCTACATGCAGCCACAGTACAAACTTGTATCCGTAAGCAGTCCTCAGGAATACTTATGACTACTTAAAAATTATAGCTGCAGATGTCCAAAAATGCTGATCACAATATCTCTCTCTCTCTCTCTGTCTCTGTCTCTGTGCTATCTTCTCTCTCTCTCTCTATACTATCTTCTCTCGCCTTCTCTGTCTCTCTCTCTTCTCTCTCTCTCTCTCTCTCGTCTCTCTCATCTCTCTCTCTCTCTCTTCCTCTCGCTCATCCTGTCTCTCTCTCTCTCTCTCTCTCTCTCTCTCTCTACTCTACTATATATATATATATTATATATATATATATATATATAAAGTAGATGTTATTGATATGCGCATTATGGAGTCGCAATGTACAGGCTTCGGCGTTGTGTGGCCTGTGAATGCACTATTTTAATGTTTCCACATGTGACTGCTGAATAACGGCTTATTCGTAGCTCTGCTGCTGCGGCCTGCGGCAACTGTACGCGGGCTCATAGTACTAGAGCTACGCGCTTTATCGCTGTTCGCAAGCAAGCAAAACCCAATGCTCCATGGCAAATTCCGCCTCCGACACCGTAAGGCTGAACTGTATCTGTCGCCGTAACATATACCAATATGCATTAGTACTGAAGTAAACATGTGGTATTGGATCGT